AGCAAGAAACGACCGCTAAGAGTCCAAACAATACCGGCACAAGCCTAAACATGATATCTAGCATTATTTACAGCTCAACTACTTTATCACATGGTGAAAACATGAATATCAACAAGATAGAGTCACTAAACGGTGCCATGGAGTCACCCAGGCCATAATTCTCACGGTGCACGTCTGCACGCTCGTCACTTGGCATGTGTTTCACCTCACTACTAATCACATTACACATAGTTCGGGGTTTTGAACCCTCAGAACCAAGCTTGGAAGCGTTACTTACCTCAAACCAAGAAAAAGTCCTACTCCGCTGTTACACCCCATATTTTTGTACGTGAAAGTACGCCATAAGTAAATTAATGAAAGCTCGAAAGTAAGATGTTACATCCCGCATTTTTTGTACGTTAAAGTTTTATCGTAAGTTAATCAACGTAAGTTCGGGAATGGGATTATTATGAGATTATACGCATTATGCTATTTCAAACAAGTGATGAATAAATTTGTGAAGGTGAGAGGGTAGGCAAATCGAAGAAAATGAATTTTGTCGAAGTTTGAAATGTTGGGATAAAATACGGCATGAGCTAAAATACTCGGAATTTTTGGGCTAGTGTCATACAAGGTACCATATGACCATGATAGTAAGGTGTATAAGGTATGTTAAAAGTGGGTAGTATTTTAAGTAATTTGAGATAGTTCATAATTATGTAACCGATGGCCGCGACATCCGCGATGCCCTTGCCTCTCAAATCGGCCTCCAAATGTCCCGAATCTAGAAAAAAGCAATACAATACAATCAATATAGGCTAAATGAACCAATTCCACAAGAAAAATACCAAATTATAGCCAAAAATCCGAATTCGGCTCAAACCTGACCCCGGACCCACGTCTCAAAATCCGACAAAAGTCACAAAACCCGAAAGCTCATTCACTCACGAGTCTAACCATATCATATTTACTCAAATCCGACAACAAAATCCCTTTCGAAACCTCAAAATTCCATCTCAAGAACTCTTCCGCTTTTCCCCCAATTTTTCCCTCCAAATCACAATTTAGATGATAAAATTCAAGATATAATCATGGAATTTAACCAAAACCAAGTCAGAAACACTTACCCCAATGAACTCCCTGAAAATCCCTTCAAAAATTGCCCAAATCCGTGGTCTCTAGCACAAAATATGAGAAATGGGTCCAAACCCTCGATTTTGAAATTTAAAAGTGCTGCCCAGATTTCCTTCATCGCGATCGCAGAAATAGCTTCGCGATCGCGGAACACAAACAGACTGTCCCACATTTTTACCCTATGTGAACTCGAAATTCACCCATGCGTTCGTGGATCACTGCGTCTCAAACCTACGGGATCGCATCTTACCTCACGCGATCACATAGAGAAATTACCTCACCTCTTCATCAGCTCGATTACTTCTACGCGAACGCGGTATTGGCCATGCGTTCGTGAAGCTCATCTTCTCACACGTACACGATCGCATTCCTAACTCTGCGATCGCATAGAACAAACTCACCTCTGCTCCAAATAAGCATATGCGATCGCAGATGAACTCATGTTATCGCGTATAAGGAAACCAGACAAATACAACAACAAACATTAGCTAACACTCAAAGGTAAAAAAATGATCCCTTAACCACCCGAAACTCGCCTGAGGCCCTTGGGACCTCAACCATACATACCAACATGTCCCATAACATCATAAGAACTTATTCAGACCTTCGAATCACTCAAAACAACATCAAAACACCAAATTACCCCCGGATTCAAGCCTAAGAACTTTTAAACTTCTGAATTCCACAAACGATGTCAAAACCTATCAAACCACATCCGAATGACCTCGAATTTTGAAAACAAGTCAGAAATGTCAACAAGAACGTAGTCCAACTTCCGGAAATCCAATCCGACCTCGATATCAAAATTTCCACTTCCGACCAAAATCGCCAAAATTCTAGCTTTCGCCAATTCAAGACTAATTCTACCACGGACCTCCAAATTATATTTCGGACGTTCTCCTAAGTCCAAAATCACCTAACGAAATACATATAGGTCAACATCCGGTCAACTTTTCCAACTTAAGCTTTAAATTAAGAGACTATGTGTCTCAATTCACTCTAAAACACTTCGAACCGGAACCAACTAACCGAGTAGATCATAATATTGCTGAAGAACACAAAAGAAGCATGAAATAGGGAAATGGGGCTATAACTCTCGAAACGATCAGCCAGGTCATTTTGAGAGTTACAGCACTGTTCCCCTATTTCCTGCTTCTATCATGTTCTACAGCTAAATTATGATATATCGGGTTAGTTAGTTCGGGTTCGGAGTAGTTTCAGAGTGAATTGAGACACATAGTCTCTTAATTGAAAGCTTAAGTTGGAAAAGTTGACCGAAAGTTGACTTATGTGTAAACGACCTCGAATTTGAATTTTGATGATTCTGGTAGCTTCTTTAGGTGATTTTGGACTTAGGAGCGCGTCCGGAATGTGATTTGGAGGCTCGTGGTAGAATAAGGCTTGAATTGGCGAAAGTTAGAATTTTGGCGATTTTGGCCGGCAATGGAAATTTTGATATCGGGGTCGGATTGGAGTTCCGGAAGATGGAGTAGGTTCTTGGTGTCAATTATGACTTGTGTGCAAAATTTGAGGTCATTCGGACGTGGTTTGGTAGGTTTCGGCATCGTTTCTGGAATTCGGAAGTTTAGAAGTTCTTAGGCTTGAATTCGGGAGTAATTTGGTGTTTTGATGTTGTTTTGGGTGTTCGTTCGACTAAGTTCGTATGAGGTTTTGGGATGTTTTGCTATGTTTGGTTGTGGTCCCGAGGGCCTCGGGATGATTTCGGGTATTTATCGTATTGTTTTGAGTGAAGAAGGCAGCTAAAGCTACTAGTTCTGGTGTTTCTACACCTGCAGTGCGGAGCCCGCAGAAGTGAAGGAGGTGCCACAGATGCGGTCAAGGAGGAGCTGGGTAGGATTCGCAGGTGCGAAGATATTCCCGCACCTAAGAGGGTCGCAGATGCAGGCAGCTGGACGCAGGTGCATAGGGAGGTCGCAGGTGCTATGGATTCCCGCACATGCGATTGACGCGGATGCGGTCTTGGAGCCCGTAGGAGCGGAGGCTGGGATTTAAGTGAAACCGCACCTACAATGGAATTTCCGGAGGTGCAGCGTCGCAAAAGTGACCTATGGACCACAGGTGCGGTATTGTTGGGCAGAAAAGCACCAGCTCGAGGTTTTGTCTTTCATTTTCAGTTTTGATCTTGAGGAACTGTTACGCCCCAACCTCGGGAGGCGCGTCCGGCGCTCAATCGAGTGAACCCAACCGAGCAAGCCTCATCACACACTTCCTACCCAACTCATTATGAACAAGATAGTCATGTTTCCTTTTTATTTAAGCAAGGAAAAGTAGTACATTCAACAGTGTTAGTTCATTTTATATTACAAACTTAAATCATAGTTAAAGTTAGTTTCCGAAATTCCCATAAAATTACAATTTATAGATAACATGGGTTTAGAATTACAACAACGTTCATGGACCCCTCAAGCACCCGTACATAACCCACACACATGTCTACGGAGCCTCTAAGGATGTAAAAAGACAAGCATGACAGTGCCGGCAACAAGGCCCCGGCAATACCTCAAAAGTAGGAGCCTACAACAAAAGATATGTAATCTAACCCCCTGAAGGAGAAAGGGGCTCACCCAAACTTCAGAAGAAGGTACTCCGCTACACACGATCAACAGTATCTGCAGTGGAGCCACCTACATTCATTAAACAAATGTAGGTGGTCCTCAAAAATAAAATAAAAATTCCCTTTATATAGTAGGGGAGTTTCAATCCTAGTACAAGTCTAAGTAAGGTAGAGATCTTCTTCTTCCAGTAAACATTGATACGTAGTTGATATCGGGCGAGACTTGCACCGTAATATTCGGTTAAGGGAGGATATTTCGCCCCCCCCCCCCCCATTTGTCTCGTCTAACCATCTATCACTTAGCATCGGTTCTTCACTTTGCTCGAGCTCAATGCTTGGTCGAGTCTGGTTCCAGGCGCACTATTCGTCCTCCCCGAGTTCTAGTCCGTGGAAGACCTCGGCATTTCCCGAGGCCATATCGGGTCGCGTTGTCTGCTCGTTTCTTTACTGAAAAATCGGAGGTAATTGTATTCCCAATTTTACCCGCGCACAGTTAATATGTATTCCTAGGACCTAACTTATAAGCTACGGGTCACCTCTCAGTAGTTTTTTGTTCAGACTTGGTATATATATTAAAAATTCACAAAATATTTATAAATATTTGACAATGAATTCAATTATTATTGTATATTTATTTGAGATAGCTGTAAGCACTAATTTATGAGTTTTGGCATGCCACTAGTATCGTAGTCGGGTGCGCAAATACATGTCAACCATGATTTGCAATATTCTCATTCTTGAAATTTTAATGTGATTGTTTTATAACTTCAAATAGAAATACTCCAATTTTTACGGTTCCATTAACTTCTTTGTAACTAACATTACCTCAGTAAACGTATATATGTTAGACAAAGTCAATTGTTCGTATTAATTGATGATTAAAGATGGCAACGGGGACTTATGTTCGATTAACAAAGGAACAAGAATCCTCATTGCAGAACATTACTCCTGGCGAGCTTAATCAACCCATCGATGTCCAAAAGGTTCATTCTTCACTTATCTTTTCTTTTTATCATTTATAATATTTTGAGATTTGAATTTTCTTCCTCAATCATTTACATACACTACTAATTGTCATGAGAATCCTACTTATATCTATTGAAATAGATTGTCCTTTTGAATTATTATTTTTTATTTAAAACCTTCAAAGTGATGGTAATAGAGTAGCAGATCTGATTTCACACGTTGACAGGTTAAAATGACAAAAAACACACCTCAATCACTATGCAAGTATGAATCAAAAGAACTTAAAAGGATAACCAGATTAAATTTAATCCTAATCTCCATCGAGATTACTGCCTTAATGCTATCTAATTATCCGTATAACGACATTTATTGCTAGATTTTCCGAGATTTATCTTTCTTAGGAAAAAAACATGCATCAAACGCACATATGAGTGCTTGCTTATATGTTTAATACATTAATGTTATCTATGCATCATAGATTTATAAATGATTCGATTGCGTGTGTAACGTAAATTAAATTAGATTTATACACACACACAAAAAGGGAATTGATTGATGATGATCTTTTCATTTTCTTGGAAGTTCGAAAAAGGATGAAATTTTGTTTTATTTACTTGTTTTAGAAAAGAAACTTAACGTGATGAGAAAGGGGTATTATCACTTTTACCTCGCGCCAGAAACTATTTATATTTGGTAGCCGAAAAAGTGTGTAAAATTTGTATAATTTTTTAATATAACATACTGAGGTGTGTGTATACAAATTTTATATATATTTTCGACTATTATATTTACAGCAGCTATACAATATCATTTTTCCGATGAGAAATATGGTTACATTTTTTTTCACGAGGTATATGATATTTTTATGTCACACTTTGTTTAGCTAAATATTTGTTTTCATCATTTGACAGCAAACAACTGCTAGATGTGAGCATTGTGGACAAAATTTACCTGCATCTTACGAACCTCCAGCTGATGAAGAATGGCAAACTGGAATTTTTGGATGTACAGAAGATGTTGATAGTTGTAAGGATCTTACTAACTATTCTTTAAATCATCATGTTTGAACTTGAGTAGACGAATTCTTACCATCCCTCACCCTTTATAAGGTGGTTATATATATTTTCTTCAATTAATGAATCCTAGCTAAATTTAGGTTTGCTTGGAGTATTTTGCCCATGTGTTTTGTTTGGACGGCACATGGAAACGTTGAATGATGAGATATCAAGCAGAGGAGCTTGTATTGGTCATGTGGTTTGCATTGAAGGTGGCATCACTCTTGCTGCACTCACTGCAGCATTTCATGGCATTGATCCTGATACAGCATGCCTCATTACTGAGGGCTTGTTATTTACCTGGTGGGTTTGTGGTATTTATACTGGCATGGCTCGTCAGATGTTACAAAGAAAATATCATCTTAAGGTAAACTCAACTTTCTTTTTAACCTGAATAATATTTGCTATTCTTTACACAACAATGTAAATTATCATTTTTAATATTTTACACGTACAGGATTCACCATGTGATCCATGTATGGTGCATTGTTGTTTGCATTGGTGTGCCTTGTGTCAAGAACACAGAGAGATGAAGCTTCATTTATCGGCCAATGATACCCCAGCAACCACAGTTGTAGACCCACCACCAGTTCAAGAGATGAATGCCAGTGGAAATGATGATCAAGTTGAAGCTAATTCTTCTGGAAAAGAAATTGTACCATATGATAATTTGGAGATGCAATCCTTATAAGAATGCTGTCTATTTTTATTTTTTTTTTCTTTGGCAGCGTTTTACATTGTTTTATATTGAAGAATTTAGTCAATTTGATAATAAATAGTAGTAAAATTTTGTGACAGTAGTAAATTAGTTAAGCTGTCAAAGTTTTGATATCAGTATTAAGTTAATTAAATATTGAAATTGCCTGTAGGGAAAATACACATCATTTTTTTTCCTTCTACTCAACTCTCCTTTTTTCCTGCTTACTGGACAACTTTGTGAAACCTTACTTCTTTTGTGACTTGAAAATTCAAAAAAAAAAAAAAAACGATCAACAAGCTTATGAAAAGATTTATTCGTGAGTTTAATAGATTTAATTTGTATCTCATATGACAAAAATAAATTAGACAAGCAATAAAAAATCGGAAGTCGAGAAAACAATATAGTTGTTTTTTTTGAAATAATAATCAACTTAAACAGAACTAATAGGATCCTACTATTAGACTCTTAGGGCTCGTTTGATATGAAGGATAAAGGATAATTAATCCCGGGATTAAATTTGAGATGAGTTTATCTCACGTTTGGTTGGGATAAAGTCGTGGTATAACTAATCTCGGGATTGTACTATTTTTTTATCTCCATGTGAGAGTAAAATAACGTTAAAATATCATGGTATAGCCAGTTTTCACACTGGTCAATGAAAAATAACCAGCGTTTATCAAGTCAATGAAAAATAGCCACTATTTTGCTGCAACAGGGACCGGTCCAGTATAATATACGGGAGTTCTGGTGCATTTGTGTACGAACTCCAGCATATTATGCTGGACCGGTATACTTTGCTAACTCCTGTAAAATTTGCGGGAGACTGGAGCACCAGTGCTCCAAACTCCAGTATATTATACTGGACAATTATACTTGCTGGAACTCCCGTAAAATTTGCGGGAGTTCCAGCATAATTATGCTTGAACTCCCGTAAAATTTGCGGGAGTTCCAGCATAGTTATCCTGGAACTCCCGTAAAATTTACGGGAGTTCAAGCATACTTATGCTGGAACTCCCGTAAAATTTGCGGGCGTATTTTTCCGGATTTTGAACAGTGTTTTCGCTCAGATTTAAAGTGGCTAAATTTCGATGACTTTTGAAACTTGGCTATTTATCAACGACCAGTGGTAAATCTGGCTATTTTTGAATTTCTCCCGAAGTAATCCCAGGATAATTAATCATGGGATAACTTATTTCCTAACCAAATGACCCCTTAGGGTCATTGGTAGCTGGTTAGGGGATAAGTTTATTCATGTACAAAAATTAACATAACTAGTAAGTAGTATTATATTTGGTAGGCATTTTATAATTCTACACAAATAAAACATGTACTTCCTCCATTTCGATTTAGGTGAACCTTTTTTTTTAGTTCGTGTCAAAAAGAATGACCCCTTTCCATCATTGAAAATAATTTACCTTTATGTAATGATTTATAGCCATACAAATTATATGTGCTTCATTTTGCACCACAAGTTCAAAAGTCTTCTCTTTTCTTCTTAAACTCCGTGCTCTATCAAATAGGTTTAGAGACGTATCCAGGATTTTAATACCATGGGTGCACTATTATCTTTAAGATAGATGTTTGGTTCCATTATATAAAATTTTATGATGGCGGCATGTTGACGAGCAAACTATATTAATTCTATATTCGCAAAAAATATCCTTCACTTTACAATTGTCCTTGACGAGTTTTTATTAAAAACAGTTAATAATAATATCATTACTTACAGTTTTAAATATCTCACACCCTATATAGCAAATTAAACAATCATTCAAAAAAGTTTTTAAAAACAACGCTTAATATTGAGCAGGAGTTTTCCTGCTTTGAATACACTGAGAGCCTCAGAGCCGAGAGAGACGAGTCATGAGTACTTTGCTTTTAGGGATTTCAAAGTTTTTGTACTCAAAAGAATAATTAGGAGAAGAAAATAAAAAACACGTAGGCAAAAGGGAGTTTTTTCTTTTTTTTAAAAAAAAAGTAAAAAGAAAATGTATTTGTTTGTTAATTGAAAAAAAAAGGCATAGGGATATGTTGTTAATTGAAAAGGGTGTGGGAAATCAGGAATTTATTTATTGTAATTAATTATAAAAGGAATTAATCAAAAAGAATTGTATGGGGATCTAACCCCTGACCTTGGGGACAAAGGAGATAAGAGGGGCACTACAACAAGCACATAATTGAACAAATAGAGATTAAACCGGCAAGGCCCGAAGCAGCTGATGGCAGTGAGTCTACGCAATGGCAGAGATTTGGATGTAGAGCAAGAGAGGGCTCGAGAAACCAGACAGGCTGAGACACTCATACCAGTGCCCATTGAGCTGGATGAGTCAACGAAACTGATAGAGGTGACAGTCCAGCCTTCCGAGGAAGAAAATAACATTCAGATTGAGACTGAGAAAGAAGCTGAGACAGCCCGGGAACCAGCGGTTGAAGTGGTAGCTGATAAAGATCAATCCCAAATCATTGGGAAGAAGAGACCTCCTGTACCATTCCCTCAGAGGCTGGCTAAGTACCAAAAGGATGAGCAGTACAAGAAATTCTTGGAGATGCTGAAACAAATCCAAGTAAACTTTCCATTGATTTATGCCTTGAAGGAGATGCCTGGGTATGCAAAAATGATGAAGGACTTAATGTCCCGAAAATTTGATTTCCAAGACTTGGCCACGGTGACTCTTACCCAGACCTGCAGTGCAGTGGTGACTGGACCAATTGTGGAGAAGCTATCTGACCCAGGGAGCTTTACAATTCCCTGCACTATTGGTAATTTTGCTTTCGCTAAGGCACTTTGTGATCTAGGGGCCAGCATAAATCTTATGCCCCTAGCGATTTATAAGAGGCTGGGGATTGGAAGAGCTAGGCCCACCTCTATGTTGTTGCAGCTAGCTGACAGGACTGTAAAAAGACCTTCTGGTATCCTGGATAATGTGTTGATTCAGGTAGGGAAATTTGTGTTCCCTGCAGATTTTGTGATCTTAGACTGCAAGGTGGATGAAGAAATTCCCATAATTTTGGGAAGGCCGTTCTTGGCCACCAGGAGAGCTCTCATTGATTGTGAGACTGGGGAGCCCAAGATGAGACTGAACGACAAAGAGATAACATTCAATGTGCAAAAATCTATGAGGCGACCAAGTGAATTCGCCAATTGCTCTCTTATTGATGCCGTGGATGTAATTGTAGAAACTGATGATGAGATGTTGACAATTGAGGACCCCCTGGCTGCATATCTAATGAATTTAGATGAGGTGAATGGAGAAGAACTGGCAGAATGGGTGTTGGCATTAGAGGGCAGAGGGTTCTGGGATAGAACTCTGGAATTTGAGCCCTTGATCTTAGAAAATAGAGAAACTCCTCCAGCTAAGCCATCCATTGAAGAACCACCAAACCTGGAATTGAAGCCATTGCCAGCCCATCTCAGGTATGAGTTCCTTGGACCTGACTCCACATTACCTGTTATTATCTCATCTAGTTTGTTAGATGTGCAGGCACAACAACTCTTACAGGTACTCAATGAGTGTAAGACTGCCATTGGGTGGACCATGGCAGAAATTAAGGGGATCAGCCCCGCCTACTGTATGCATAAAATTCTGCTGGAAGAGGGACACAAACCATCCAGGGAACATCAAAGAAGGCTGAACCCCAATATGAAGGAAGTGGTGAAGAAAGAAGTAATAAAGTGGCTAGTGCGGGAATCATTTTCCCAATATCTGACAGCAGCTGGGTTAGCCCAGTGCAGTGTGTGCCTAAGAAAGGTGGCATGACGGTGATCAAAAACGATAACAATGAACTGACCTCAACACGAACCGTCACGGGCTGGAGAATTTGCATGGATTATAGAAAGTTAAATCTTGCCACCCGGAAAGACCACTTCCCACTTCCCTTCATTGATCAAATGTTAGACAGATTGGCAGGGAGGTCACACTTCTATTTTCTGGATGGGTACTCAGGGTACAATCAGATCTCCATTGCACCAGAGGACAGAGAGAAGACCTCCTTTATTTGCCCATATGGCATTTATGCCTTTCGGAGGATGCCCTTTGGCCTATACAATGCACCCGCCACATTCCAAAAGTGCATGATGGCCCTATTCACTGACATGGTAGAAGACATAATGGAGGTGTTCATGGATGACTTCTCAGTGGTGGGGAACTCATTTTATGAGTGCCTGATAAATTTGACTCGTGTGCTGAAACGGTGTATCGAGACTAACCTGGTTCTTAATTGGGAGAAGTGCCATTTCATGGTACAAGAGGGCATAGTCTTGGGGAACTGGGTGTCAAGCAAAAGAATTGAGGTGGATCGTGCTAAAGTGGATGTGACAGCAAAGCTGCCCCCTCCAACTTCAGTCAAGGCAATCAGGAGCTTCCTCGGGCATGCCGGCCTTCTCGAAAATTGCCAACCCGCTATGTAAGTTGTTAGAAAAAGATCACCCCTTCTTGTTTTTTGATGATTGTAGGGTAGCATTCGATGAGCTGAAAAAGAGGCTGTCACAGCACCAATCATTGTTGCCCCCGACTGGGAGCAGCCATTTGAACTCATGTGTGATACTAGTGACTACGCAGTGGGGGCAGTTCTGGAACAGTGGAAAGACAAACTAATTCATCCAATTTACTACGCAAGTAGAACGCTGAGTGGAGCCCAGCTGAACTACATTGTGACGGAGAAAGAGTTGTTGGCGGTGGTGTTTACTTTCGATAAATTCAGATTATACCTGATTGGCTCTAAGGTAATTGTATACACTGACCATACAGCTCTCAGGTACTTAATTGAGAAGAAGGAATCTAAACCGCGCCTAATTCGTTGGGTGCTGTTACTCCAAGAGTTCGACCTCGAAATTCGTGACCGTAAGGGCACAGAAAATCAAGTCGCTGATCATCTGTCACGGCTTGAGGGAGCTGAAAAATCAACTGAGGTGGAGGACATTCTGGAAACCTTTCCAGACAAGCAACTGCTCACGGCCAATCTTGAGGAAGTTCCATGGTATGCAGACTTTGCAAATTACCTGGCATGTGGCATAGTTCCTTATGATCTGTCCTCGGTACAAAAGAAAAAGTTTTATCGTGACTGCTGCATGCATTATTGGGATGAACCTTACCTGTT